ACGTATCGGAACAATTGTTACATCTTGCTGAAAAATTTAAAATTGAAGATATTTCACTTCTGTAATATAGCATTTTACAATGCGTACAATCAAATTCGATCATTCGATATTCATAAAACAACTCATCGTGGGGGATATATAACAGGATCTTTATCAATTCTCTGATTAGCCAAGGTAACGACGTTACCTTGGCATGGTCATGGAGTTTAGCAATTTATCTGCTTCCTCGAAGTTATTAATGATAGTTATTAATGATAGCTGAGTTAGACATCGCGAAACGCGGGGATGATATGGCAACAAGCGACATCTTTAAAATTTAATATCCACACGACTGAAGAATCGCTTTTAGCCATGAAATCCTGCTACTTGTAGTCTCTTGTCGAGTGTATACTTGTATCAGTATCATTGAGTCTTTGTCTTCAATATCTCTCGGAATCGAGTATTTTCGCGAGTGCGACTTTATTTCAACCGAGTTCCATAGAATAAGTGATTAGATTATAAAAAGAATTCGATATCACTTGAAGAAAACCATCAGGATTCCTAATAGCTTGAATAGTTTTAGTATTTTTCTATATTATTAGCAGGCAAAAGATACTCTCTGAACAAAAATATAATAAATTTGTTTAAAAATTATTTTAATTTTAATTTTATATAAAACTTTATTGAAAAAAATATAATAATAATCAAATAAACGATATAAAAGGACAGATTCAAGTGCATTTAGGTTGAATTGGTCACCAGTAGAGTAAATTTAATTATTAGATAATTCATCCCAATGTCAAGGTTTCAAGTAGAGAAAAATGATTATGAAAATCAATTTATTTATTATTTGTTTTGTAATATCACTATAACAGAAAATAAATCGATACATATGTAAAAGTAATTACAAGCATGAGCGTACAATTTCTATGCGATATCATGCGATTGGGTTGGCCACTTATAATTTAAAAACTATTATATTTCTTGATATTTTTATATTACGATTTTTTATTCTATTTTATCTCTAAGCACGTTATTAAAATATTACGGAGGTTGTAAGATACCCTACACATACATACATACAGGGTGTCTTAAAACTCATAATGAATCTTTCAAAGACAGATTCCTGGGATCATCTGAAGACGAATTTTCCTCAACGAAAATTTCGAGGCACTTATAATTTTTGAATTATAAGTGATTGGAAATACGGCGTTTTTCGTAAATTAAGCTTTGTAGAAATAAAATATTAACAAAACCATATTCTTCGATTAATTTTAATTACAGTTTACTTTAGTTGAGTTTTAATTTAAGGCTTAATTGCAAAGATATATGATGACAAAAATCCGGAACATGTAAAAAATGATGGCTTTCATCGACATTTTCGTTGAGGAAAAATCGTCTCCAAATGATCCCAGGAATCTGTCTTTGAAAGATTATTTATTATGAATTTTGAGACACCTTGTGTATATATATATATATATATAATTATATTTTCTATTCTTTGCCCTCTGCTTTTTTTTTTTCTTATGCAAAACATTTGATAATTATTTAGTGCTCACTAATTAAATAACATTACTCTTTGAAAAATGAATCTTTAATCCTACATTTTTTCTCTAATGCATAATGAAGAAAAAATAATAATGAATTATAAAAATTATAAATATAACTTTTATTCGTAAGGTAATTAAAATTTAAGGATTAACAATTGATTACAAAATAAAATATGATTAAATAAATATATAGAAAAAATAAAAATTGATTAAAATTTAAGGATTAACACTCGATTAAAAAATAAGAATTAACGATTACAAATTTTGTAATCAGAAGTGTTCGAATAATTTCAATAATCGATTAAATAATATATGATTACATGTATGATTAATATTTTAATCGATTATTTTAAGTTAAACGTTAAAAATATAATTAATTAATTAAATACTGTTTATAATATTTAATTGATTAAATTAAATCATGATTCTTTATATTTTAAATTTAATTCTTTAATTCAATTATTTTATTTAATAAGAAAATTAATGATCTTTTATACAATCTGTTAAAGTTTATTACACTCGTTCTGAATCATTGTTTGTACTATTATATATACACTATATATTATGTCTGAACGAATTTAATGAAAAATTTTGTCTTTCTAGAAATAAATACTAATATCCACATAAATGAAATAATATCAAGTGTCGATGTTTTCGAATAGATCTTGAAAGAGATGAGTTCCAACATGGATTGCTCCGTCTTAATCGAACGTTCTCACTCGATGTGACATCCATGAAGACGAGACTCCTTCGATTGAGTATACCTCAATGATAAAACCTCCTTTGCGTGGATTAGTTCGCTCAATTAGGAAATATACTCAGGGGCCCCCATAAAGTCTCTCAGCGTGCAAACTCCTATATATATGTACCATTGCTATATAACACTCTGGCCTTCTTTCTATGTATCTTCCTTTTTTCCCTTATCGAACTGCGAATTAGAGCACATGCCGATAGATAACGTTTGATGATACTTTATATGGCGAAAATTTATGGCACTTACAAGTTATACGAATTTTAACTCTTTGTTCGTAATAATATTCATATATATATGCAGTGAAAGCATGAATTGAATACAATATTTTGTAACATTCATTTATTATATCAAGAAATTTTATTTTTATTTTTACCATTTAAATAGAAATAGAATTACTATCGAACAACGAGACTGTAGTAAATCATTGTCGTAAGATAATAATCTATCCATTATTTAGTCATTATCTATACAAAGTCTATCTATCTGTCGTAGTCTATTCCGGGTCATTATAGTACGAGGAGAATATTTTATTTCATATTAGTTTACAGAAAGTATATTTACGATGTTTGTGATAAGTATAATTTCGGATAAAAGATTTTCGAAGGATCGCATGAGTATTTTGCTCAGTACTAAGGCATATCCTGGTAGTTAATTCTCTTGAATATGGCTATATCCGCCGCATCGCTCTCTAAAGTTCCCCTAATACCTTACGAAAACTTTGCTAGGAACTGAGAATTCGGGATATGGCATGGACGGATCTTGGTGCCGATCTTTTAATCATAACTCGCGGAGATACACTTAAAGAGATAAATTTATTTTATTGTTTTCACAATGATATGGCGGCATCGAATCTTTGCGAAGAATATAAAAAGACAGTGAAAAAGGTGTATTCAAGATATATAATAGTAATTGTTTTCTCCAAATTTTGACTCTTCTTAAAATCAATATAGTGAATCTATATTGTATATAAAAAATGATGATCACATAAATGATTCTTAATACATAATGATTCGTATATGAATCTCAAAATGCGCATTATGTAAGAAAATTAATTTCAATAATTTTTTTTATTTTATTTTCATACCATTTCATAAATATTTATATAAGCCGTCGTCTTCTATTTCTATGCGCAAAAATATTTTTAAGAATTTAAAAATTGTTTACAGATTAAAATACATTTAAATATGTTTTCTGAAAAATAAAATTAAATAAATTCTTGGCACAAAGTTTTTTTTTCATAATATGCGAAATTTGATTCAGTTTGTATTTAATATAAAATATTTGTATACATAATTTTTCTATATGATTATTGTTAAATCTAGTGAAATTATTTAAAAATATGTTTATAGAACAATATTATTTTACTTTGATAGGGTTTATTAGCATAATTTTATTCTAAAAAAAAGAAAAAGAGAGAGAAATATAATATACTATAATAAATAAGATATCTTAATTTGTACATTAATTACAATTGTTTGATTTTATTTTTGTTTTTTTATTTTTATTAAATTTATTTAAAGGATATGGACTATAATTGTCAGACGTCACGTGTAATACTGTCGCGTGATCGGTTGCCTATCTTACAGGCGGTCTAAACAAGAACACATATAGCTCCTTAATTAAGGAAATGTTGCGGAGTTTGGTCGATTATTTCAAAAATAATCAACCATGATTAGACAATTTGCCTACGACTTATGACTTGCGACGTTACGATACGACCAATGTAGATTCGGCTTATGATCATCTTAAGCTCTTTTTCCACCGATCAATAGATGCATTGTAGCTATTTGATTGGTTGAATGACTTCTTTAGTGCGTTCGAAAATATGTTTAGTGTTAGGAAGTATAAATAATCGTTTGACAACTGATGATTTATCTGATTCTTCTATTATGGAATCGGAAGATATTCGTCAGTTTAGAAAATTTTTAATATTTATGTCAACAATACAAGGTTTTGTATCAGTACGTCACAAATATAAAGATAAATAATGACACTTGAAATATATTTTGCATAATTGAGTTATAATATTTGTAATAATCTATTATTTATTTTATTCAGGTTCATAGTTTATACAGGAAATTTGTAAAATTCTCAAAACTTATGGGACTCATTTACCCTTCCTGAATGCGTTAGAAAAATAATAGCATCTATGCAAAAGAAAAATGGAGAAATAGAAGGGGTTCAAATTGTACAATTGCCAGAAATACGTATTCATCATTTAGATGCAGACTTTCAATTGAGAAATATAATTACTCCTGCACTTTAAGTAATAATTATACGTTTTAAATATTTTTTTGCTATAAATACATATGTAAATAAATAATTTATGTTAATAATATAATTTAAAGATTTAAATGAGGATTTTATTTATGAATCAAGAAAAAAGTTTTTTAGGATAATGTTAATAATAAGAATTTTATAATATTTTTAACATATTTGTACATATAAGATTATGTATTAAACTTTATTTTCACGTATGACATAATAGATATTAATATTATTATTACTAATTGTCCATATGATAATTATTTCTAAATATTATAATTATTTTTATGTTATTAGTTTATGAGTATATATTATTGTACATTACTGTCTTCTGTTGAATTGAAATATGCCTCAATTATTACGCGTATTATAAAGAAATATAGAAACTCAAAGATTGACATGAGACTGAAACCAGCAAGTAATCCGAGTAATCCACCGAATGATGCTAAAAATATTACTATATATTACTATCTGTATATGTATTTTTTTTAACCTGAATGTTTATTTATATCTTACCGAAGATATTACGCCAACTATAATTAACTGATCGTCGATACTGAATGGCAACTAAATCGTTGAAGAATACATGTACTATAGTGTGATTGAGTAAGCTAGTGCCGTTACTGCAAAAATATAATAATAGTATTAGTACTTACATGAACATATTTAAATCTATATTAACTATTTTCAGATTAATGTTAATTCTCACGTGCATAGATTTTAAGAATGTTTTAAAAATATTGTATATTTTGCGCAATTACTATATATAGCCACTTGCGTACATTTTATATATATATATATATATATATATATATATATATATATATATATATTCTAGACAGAGTTATTAGTAGAAAAAAATAATCTTTTATATCGATATTTCTATAAGAAGTACATCGTATTTGAAGGCGATAATTACGTTAGAGAATATTTTGTCCATATTGATCATCTTATAAAAATTAAGTTTTAATAATTTTAAGATGTCTTTTTAAACATCTTAAGACATTTTAATGTTCTCTGGGTAATTATTTTATTGTAACATAACATATGTCGTTATTATATCTCATTATTATCGCACTGTTATAATAATTGATTTAGAAATAAGAAAATCAAATAATAAAATAAATTGTATTTAATTCATGAAACTTGATATATTTAAATTTATATAGAGTTAATTAATAATTAATGATTAAAAAAAAATTACTTTATGAAATTGTTTGTATTTTATATGAAGATATGTTTAAAGAATATTAAAGATGTTTACAAATCATCGAATAATTATTTTAATAATTAATTATTTCTATTTATATACATTATATGTAAATAAGTAAAAAACAATATAAATAAAATATTTCATATAAGTTAGTTTATATCATTTTGTATAGGATTTTGAAATATAATTCAAAAGATTTTACTCATTCGAATAATTTCAATTAAATTATATGTGTAACTTTTAATGCTTTATACGAAATATATATATATTAATTTGTTACCGAGAGTCCTTTAAAAAACCATTATCGTTATAGTAAATAGTAGAATCGAGCGTTCCATAAGAGTTTCCCAAGGGATAATAAAATAGAGTGCAATCGGGTATGCATCCGCAAGGTCCCGTTTTCATATTCTTTATCTTTTGTAATAATCTTTTGTTGTCAGTTTCATCCACATTTGGCCATGAAGCATCGAAAAACGCTGTAAGAAACAAATATATGTAAAATAAACTACAAGATGATTCAGTTTAATTGACAAATATACAAGATGTCTAGAAACAGGGGTTATAAACGGGGAAAAGGTTTTTTTTGAAAAAAATAAGTCAAAAATGTAAAATAACATTTATAAAAATAACATTTATATGTATATGAGACTTCATTTTTTAAAATAAATTATTTCTTCAAAATTAGAGTGATTAAATATGAATGTATGTATATATATATATGCACTTACACTTATTTTTCAGTAAACATTGGACATCCCTGAGGTTACATACTCTAGTACCTGGAGTAAAACATATTTATCTTGTTTTAGAATGTATCCCCTCTCTATAATGTACAATAACTATTAAAGTGTAAAAATACATTTAACAAATATTGATTGTATAAAAAAATCATATTATGTAATATATTATATTTTATGTGTTATGTTTTTTAAAAAATATTAATATCTGTTTTAAACTTGAAGTAAAGAAACAGATACGGCTCTATTATATAAATGTGAAAAAAACGCAATTTAAATTCTTCCTGCCAGTAAGAGATAGACGCGCGGATAATAGAATACATAAATTTCAAAAAATTAATTTTCTTTAAAACTAATGCACTATTATTCATGTACCCGACCTCATATTATATTATCTATTTTAATAATAAAAGATTAAAAAACATATGAGTGAATTAACTTTCACTGTAAAAATACATAAAAAAAATAAAAACGTTTTATTTATATAAACGATTTTATTTTTTATTAATCAAAATTTTTCAATAATACATTTTATATTGAATAGAGGAAAGAGAAGAAAGAGATTACAAGTTACAAAAATTTTTCTATATATCAAAAAATAATTTTGTTCGAATTAATTTTCTATTCTTGTCTTTACACATACTTTTTCTTCTACTTACTATTTTGTGGAAAGTAATAAGGGATGCAACCGCATTTTTTTTTTAAAATGCTAGCTCGACATTCTGCAAGACAGTTGTGATATGTATATATCGCAAAAGTTAAATTTCTCTCTTTGACATTTGTATATAGTGTTTTGTTTGCTTCATCACTAAGTATACATTTTCGTGTAGAAATCGCTAAATTCTTCATATCGGAATTTGAATACATTTCCTCAGGTGTAACACTCAGGAAATGTTCACTATTTGTTCGTGCTAATTGAATTTCGGAATTAAAATCTGGATAATCGAACGAGTAGTGTATCATGACCTATAACATAAAGCATATAATAACACATTATTAAAAATTTACTTATTAAATTTATTGATTAATTAAATTTGTTTATTAAATTTATAATTGAAATTTTGAAAAATAATATGTAAAACTCAAATAAAAAGAGAATTATACAAATAGTAGATATATATATATATATATATATATATATATATATTATCTATTATTATATAAAATTAAATATTACAAATTCATAAACGTGCTTGATGAGAAATCGGTTAATTGTAATTTTTCCTCCGATTAATTATAGTCATATGATTATTGAATTGTTTTAATAGAATTTTTATTTTTAAAAATATTATTTTAAATAACTTAAAGAAAAAAATTATTTAAATTACCTTTACTCCATATGCCCCGATAATAGCAGAATAATAATCTTTGGGATCATTATCTAGTATTACAGTCATACCAGTCTCGAAACCACAGGCAGAAGATTGCTCCAATCTTTAACAAGAAAAAAATATGTTAATCAAAAAATATATGCAGTATTAATACGATGATATTATATTTAAATAGATTACATACAGAACTGGATTTTAATCTTCGTAGGTTTTATAAATTTTTATATAATATATTAAAATAGATAAACACGATGTTTTTTCAATTAATATTTTTATTCCAAATTAAATTGTAATAAAATTTTTGTGCATTATCTTTTTTCTTCCACAATTTTTTTTATGTATGTGTACGTATATGTTTGTATCTATGAAAATATACGCATCTTAAACGTATACATATTTGTATGTGTATAAAACATAAACATGACATATTTATAACTTATGACAATTATTTGAACATATTTAACATATTTAAAATTTAATGTAATTCTTGCGCATATACACACACACTCGCATCTTATAATTTCTGGAAAATATTTTAATAGCATATTCTAAAGATAAAATGAAAATTTTTAATGCTAAAGAAAGGAGATAAATTGTTTCATAAGTCTTAAATATCATGCCTATAATGTAAAATTTGATTCTATAAAAATTTATACTTCTCAGGTATTGTATCTGGATAAACATAATAATTAAAACTGCAGCATAAGCCATCCCGTGCCAAAGCTGGCTGGAAATATTTGTCACAATGATCGACTGTGCCCTTCCACTTGCATCTTCTTATTAGGGTACTGCAATTTTGTGTAATCTGGAAAGAAGTAACGATTAGTTCTTTCAAAACAGCAGTGCAGAAAGTTAAAATACAATGTATAAAGTATGTCTTAATTTATAATAATATTATAAAATCATTAATTTAATAAACTAAAGAGATAGAACATAATTTTCTTTATTCATTCGCGATATGTTCGAAAAGTTTATATTGAAACAGAAATCTCTTAATTACTACTAACGCGCCTAAATTGTAACGGAGATCGCTACTCTTAAATCGTAATTGCTCTTCCTACAAAGTAATTTCTGAAATAAATAATGTTTCTCTTAATAATATTCTTTATATATTTAAACAAGAAGGACAGTTATTGGGCAAATCTCTGCTATTTAATCAAGAATTCTTTCTAAGAACATGACAAACTTTCCACTCTTTCAAAAACTCCAGAGAATTACAATTTTTGTTATTAGACCTGAACTCACAACAAGTAAACTTTTAAAAATTGGAATAGAAAAGCTCAACATATTCTTTAATTTGCTTTTATTCTCAGGAGTCGGTGGGAAAGCTGCGAACCGTATCACACAACATTGGAGTATAAATCATATCATAAATCTTTCAGTATAAATCATATAAATCTTTCTGAAGTACGTGGGCAAAAGAGGTCTTCTAATATAAATACTCTTCAATGCAATTAAACTGTACATTAAAAATACAATTATTTATCAATTTATAGTTAATTTAACAGACGGTTTAAAATTCGGTAAATTAAAAAATTGCAGCTCCTTTTTTGAAAAACTTTGAGACTAAAATAATGTTTTTTTATATTTGCAAACGAATCCAAGATTCCAGATATGACTTCTCAGACTTTTCGGCGATTTTCATACATGAGTCTGTCTCAGATAGTTTGAGGACTTCTCAAGATTCCTCTTTTTTCTTGTTAGAGATTATGGCCATCTTGGAGGTAGTTAAAGCGGTGAAAAATTTAATTTTATCAATTCACTATTTCTTTTAGATTCTAAAGCTGTATGAGAGAGAGTCTTATGATCATTATTCCCCCAGTACATATTATTATTAAATAAAAAGAGTATTAATATTATTTAAGAAAAATATTATTAATAAAAAATAAATAAAAATTATTAATATATATATATATATATATATATGTATATATATATATATATATATATATATAAAACATACAAATTTTTCAATTTATAAATTTTATCTTTTTATTTATAATTTTTTATCTATATTTATTTTTATCTAAAAATTGATCCTAAAATGAATCTTATTATATAACAAATGTACCAAGAAAATTATGTGAAATTTACATTCAGCTTTTATTTCATATTCAGTTTATTGACTTACTTAATTAATAATTTTATGAAGTTAATTATAAATTAAGATACACATCAGTTTAGAAAATGCGATATAATAACAGTCATCATCTCATGTACATATATACATATGTACTTTATATATAAATATACTCTTTATAGATATATTATGTACATGTGTACATGAGAAATATTTTTAGTACATACCAATTGTATTACATCAAGAATGGACATACTGTTATCATCTATAATATCTTGTAGGCGAGTAAGATTTTTCTCAACGTCATATCCAAATATTCCTGGTATTAACAATTCATTCATCAATCGCATTTCTTCAATTAAAAATTTTTTCGACATATTGGATGGTGTCTTCCTGAAAAAAAATACGGTTGACACAGCAAAAGATAAAATAATTTTTGTAGCAATATTATGGATAGTAGCAAGAATCTCTAATATAAAACATATGCCAAATACTCACAAATTTTTGACGAATTCCTCGGTTAATTTGTAAGACACGCGATTAATATCGCATATTGTTATTGCCGGAAATGGATAATTCCCTATTTCATTATGCGTTGATTTGATAACTGTCAGGGTGGGATGACTAATATAATAATTCAAAGACATTTTTATTAAAATGAAAGCACAGCATAATGATGTAATTACCGTTATCGCCCAAATAATCCTATAAATAATTGTCGATAATACACGCATAATTGTGTTTATCGAAATATTAAGTTAAACACGTAAAAAAATTCGCGCATATTGCTTGTAAATCGAAATTGGTTTTCAATGATAATATTTTTAAGTTTATGTATATTTTTATAGATTTTTTAAATTAAAAGAAAATATTGTTTACATTCTCTTCTCTTTTCTCTCTCTCTCTCTTTCTTTGTAATTATTATAACGATTATTATCGAATTATTATTTATAACGAACTTTGTAACTATTATTAAAACTAAATAACAGTCTCAATTTAAAAACGGTATAAATAAGTAATGATAATTAAAATTATGATCAATAAAATAGAGAATAAAAGAGAGATAAAACACAAACACACACAAGAGGCTATATATAAATCTAAATATAAATAGATATATAAATGTAGAATAAATTAATAAATATGATAGAATAAATTATATAAATATATTAATATATAAATATATAAATGTATTAATATATAAGTATAAATATATAAATATATAAATATATAAATATAGCATAAATTAATTTAATTCTGTTTATTATAAAATGTTAAAAATAAGAAATCCATACCGCTCCGCTTTAGGATGTTGAGTTTGACTAATATATTTGTAACCGTGTAATCCGGTATTGGAGCAAAAGTCGGCGGCCTGTTTTTTCAGAATATTCCAACATCCCATTTTCGAATACTTAAGTCGATTTTGTATCCTGACTTTCCTCATATTTAATTGATTATGTATAAAGTTCCAACGAATTGCAAATATTAATTGTGATATATGGATAAACAAATTGGAAAAAGTATAAAGAATTCTTCTTATGGATACGTTAGCGCGTTAACTGCTGCGTTATCGAGTAAATAGCAAAAGCATACAATGCAAAAGTACACGCGCGCGCGCGCATAATATGGCATAAAATATTCATTCGACCTTCCGTCGATGGATGTACGATAATTTCAACTTTTCTAGTCTTGCGATTTTATCCTCATATAATTAATTATTAACATTAAATTTAATATTAAAGCACAACTAATACGAACATTACACATTTTCATGCCATTTGCGACTCTACTTTTTCACATCGTAACGTTTCCGTTTACATTTCGTGTCAACAAAATGTTTATCTAATGAACATTAATGATAATTGCGGGTTGATCAGAAAAGATAAAACATTGTTAAATACTATCATTATATACAAATATGAGATTTATACGATATTTATATAATATATAGCTTATAACATAGGTTTTATAATTTATTTGTCTAGAAAATTAGTCTTTTTTTATTATATGCAGAGTGATCTTTTTTGCAATTATTTTCAAAACTAGTAGCTACAAAAAAATATCTTTTGGATCAAAATTATTTTGTTTCAAGGGAAAAATAGTTAATGTAATTTTATTATGTAACTCTCTTCGATATTTACATGATCATAAGTTTAGAAAAAACATACTTAATCAATATAACTTTGACCTTTACATGATGACCATAAATTAAGAAAAACGCGTACGATTATGTTAAAAGAAAAAATATAAATAATTTTTAAATCTCGAAAATTATTTCATTTTAATAGCCATGATATATATCGAAATTTATTCAGTATTACAAATCGATTCTTTGTTTATCATGTTTAAGTCATGATATATAATTTACAAATACATGTTAAATATTTTGACAATATTTTAGTTTGCAAATAATAAGCTGATAAAATAAGCAGATATTTTAAAAGAATCTCATACGTATCGGAACAATTGTTACATCTTGCTGAAAAATTTAAAATTGAAGATATTTCACTTCTGTGATATAGCATTTTACAATGCGTACAATCAAATTCGATCATTCGATATTCATAAAACAACTCATCGTGAGGGATGTAACAGGATCTTTATCAACTCTCCGATTAGCTAAGGTAACGACGTTCACACACGACATGGTCATGGAGTTTAAGACTTTATCTGCTTTCTCGAAGTTATTAATGATAGTTATTAATGATAGCTGAGTTAGACATCACGAAACGCGGGGATGATATGGCGACGAGCGACATCTTTAAAGTTTAATATCCAGCGACTGAAGAATCGCTTTTATCCATGAAATCCTGCTACTTGTAGTCTCTTGTCGAGTGTATACTTGTATCAGTATCATTGAGTCTTTGTCTTCAATATCTCTCGGAATCGAGTATTTTCGCGAGTGCGACTTTATTTCAACCGAGTTCCATAGAATAAGTGATTAGATCATAAAAAGAATTCGATATCACTTGAAGAAAACCATCAGGATTCCTAATAGCTTGAATAGTTTTAGTATTTTTCTATATTATTAGCAGGCAAAAGATACTCTCTGAACAAAAATATAATAAATTTGTTTAAAAATTATTTTAATTTTAATTTTATATAAAACACTTTATTATGAAAAAAATATAATAATAATCAAATAAACGATATAAAAGGACAGATTCAAGTGCATTTAGGTTGAGTTGGTCACCAGTAGAGTAATTTTAATTATGAGATAATTCATCTCAATGTCGAGGTTTCAAGTAGAGAGAAAAATGATTATGAAAATCAATTTATTTATTATTTATTTTGTAATGATCACTATAACAGGAAATAAATCGGTACATATGTAAAAGTAATTACGAACCTGAGCGTGCAGTTTCTATGCGATATCATGCGATTGGATTGGTCACTTATAATTTAAAAACTATTATAATTCTTGATATTTTTATATTACGATTTTTTATTCTATTTTATTCTTAAGACACGTTATTAAAATATTAGGAGGTTGTAAGATACCCTATACATACATATATATGAGGGTAGTTCGAAAAGTTCTCGGCCTAATATAGAAATGTCGCTAAGAATATCAAATGGCTATGATTTTTCTCAAGTTTAATCCCTCAGAGGGCGTACCGCACAGTTTCAGACAGATTCGTTCGCTAGTTTGTTTACTGTGCTCGAGTAAAACAGACAAGATTTGATACTTCTCCAAAAATGGATAAAATTGAATATCGCGCAGTCATAAAATATTTCGTTTTAAAAGGATTAACGGCAACAGAAATAAAAAACGAGCTGGATTCCACTTTGGGAGACTCTTCTCCATCATTTTCAACAGTGAAGAAATGGGCTGCTGAATTTAAACGTGGCCGTTCATCCATCTTTGACGATGAACGTTCGGGTCGCCCGAAAACCGCCACGAATGAGGAAATCATTCAAAAAATCCACGATAGCGTGTTAAATGATCGACGAGTAAAAGTGCGTGAGCTTTCTAACATTGCAAACATCTCAATAGATCGTGTTCACAATATCTTACATGAACATTTGCATATGAGAAAGCTCTCAGCGCGATGGGTGCCGCGTTTGTTAACGGTCGATCAGAAACGCATTCGAACGAACATTTCTCAAGAGTGCTTGGACTCCATGAATTGCGTTTCGAATTGTTACCACACGCACCGTACTCGCCAGATTTAGCTCCCAGTGACTTCTTTTTGTTTCCGAATATGAAAAAATGGCTTGCTGGAAAAAAATTCACGTCAAATGCGGAGGTCATCGCTGAGACGGATGCTTATTTTGGAGGCTTAAGCAAATCGTATTATACTGAGGGTATAAAAAAATTAGAACATCGTTGGTCTAAATGTATTGAGTTGAAAGGGGACTATGTTGAAAAATAAAAAAGATTTTTGCTGGAAATCATGTGTTTTCTTTGCCAGGCCGAGAACTTTTCGAACTACCCTCGTATATACAGGGTGTCTCAAAACTCATAATGAATCTTTCAAAGACATATTCCTGGGATCATCTGAAGACGATTTTTCCTCAACGAAAATGTCGAGGCACTTATAATTTTTGAATTATAAGTGATTGGAAATAAGGGGTTTTTTGTAAATTAAGTTCTTTGTAGAAATAAAATATTAACAAAACCACATTCTCCGATTAATTTTAAATAGAGTTTACTTTAGTTGAGTTTTAATTTAAGGCTTAATTGCAAAGATATATGATGACAAAAATCCGGAACATGTAAAAAATAATGGCTTTCATTGACATTTTCGCTGAGGAAAAATCTTATCCAAATGATCCCAGGAATCTGTTTTTGAAAGATTATTTATTATGAATTTTGAGACACCTTGTGCATATATATATATATATATATATATATATATATATATATATATATTATTATATTCTCTATATATATTATTATATTCTCTATTCTCTGTCCTCTGCTTTTCTTTCTCTTTTCTTATGCAAAATGTTTGATAATTATTTAGTGCTTACTAATTAATTAACATTACTCTTTGAAAAATGAATCTTTAATCCTGCATTTTTTCTCTAATGCATAATGAAGAAAAAATAATAATGAATTATAAAAATTATAAATATAACTTTTACTCGTAAGGTAATTAAAATTTAAGGATTAACAATTGATTAAAAAATAAAATATGATTAAATAAATATATAGAAAAAATAAAAATTGATTAAAATTTAAGGATAAACACTCGATTAAAAAATAAGAATTAACGATTACAAATTTTGTAATCAGAAGTGTTCGAATAATTTCAATAATCGATTAAATAATATATGATTACATGTATGATTAATATTTTAATCGATTATCTTAAGTTAAACGTCAAAAATATAATTAATTAATTAAATACTGTTTATAATATTTAATTGATTAAATTAAATCATGATTCTTTATATTATAAATTTTTAATTTAATTCTTTGATTCAATTATTTTATTTAATAAGAAAATTAATGATCTTTTATACAATCTGTTAAAGTTTATTACACTCGTTCTGAATCATTGTTTGTACTATTATATATACACTATATATTATGTCTGAACGAATTTAATGCAAAATTTTGTCTTTCTAGAAATAAATACTAATATCCACATAAATGAAATAATATCAAGTGTCGATGTTTTCGAATAGGTCTTGAAAGAGATGCGTTCCAACATGGATTGCTCCGTCTTAATCGAACGTTCTCACTCGATGTGACATCCATGAAGACGAGACCCCTTCGATTGAGTATACCTCAACGATAAAACCTCCTTTGCGTGGATTAGTTCGCTCAATCAGGAAATATACTCAGGGGGCCCTCATAAAGTCTCTCAGCGTGCAAACTCCTATATATATATATATATATATATATATATATATATATATATATATATATATATATATGTATATATATATATGTGTATGTATATATATATATATATATATATATATATATATATATATACACCATTCTGTCCTTCTTTCTATGTATCTTCCTTTTTTCCCTTATCGAACTGCGCAATTAGAGCACATGCCGATAGATAACGTTTGATGATATGGCGAAAATTTATGGCACTTACAAGTTATACGAATTTTAACTCTTTGTTCGTAATAATATTCACATATATATGCAGTGAAAGCATGAATTAAATACAATATTTTGTAACATTCTTTCATTATAATTAAGAAATTTTACTTTTTATTTTTACCATTTAAATAGAAATAGAATTAATATCGCGAACAACGAGACTGTAGTAAATCATTGTCGTAAGATAATAATCTATCCATTGTTTTCTCAAAATTTTGACTTTTCTTAAAATCAATATAGTGAATCTATATTGTGTAAAACATGATGATCACATAAATGATTCTTAATACATGATGATTCGTATATGAATCTCAAAATGCGCATTATGTAAGAAAATTAATTTCAATAATTTCTTTTATTTTATTTTTATATAATTTCATAAATATTTATATAAACCGTCGTCTTCTATTTCTATGCGCGAAAATATTTTTAAGAATTTAAAAGTTGTTTACAGATTAAAATTCATTTAAAGATGTTTTCTGAAAAATAAAATTAAATAAATTCTTGACACAAAGTTTTTTTTTCATAATATGCGAAATTTGATTCAGTTTGTATTTAATATAAAATATTTGTATACATAATTTTTCTATATGATTATTGTTAAATCTAGTGAAATTATTTAAAAATATGTTTATAGAACAATATTATTTTACTTTGATAGGGTTTATTAGCATAATTTTTTTCTAAAAAAAAGAAAAAGAGAGAGAAATATAATATACTATAATAAATAAGATATCTTAATTTGTATATTAATTATAATCGTTTGATTTTGTTTTTTTTTTATTTTTATTAATTTTATTTAAAGGATATGGACTAGAATTGTCAGACGTCACGTGTAACACTGTCGCATGATCGGTTGCCTATCTTACAGGCGGTCCAAACAAGGACACATATAGCTCCTTAGTTAAGGAAATGTTGCGGAGTTTGGTCGATTATTTCAAAAATAATCAACCATGATTGGACAATTTGCCTATGACTTATGACTTGCGACGTTACGATACGACCAATGTAGATCTGGCTTTAAGTCATCTTAAGCTCTTTTTCCACCGATCAATAGATGCATTGTAGCTATTTGATTGGTTGAATGAGTTCTTAAGATGATCTTAAATATGAAACCGGATTATGAATATCGGCCATCGAAATTTGCTTCGGTAAAACCAGACGATATCTGATAGTCCACGGGATCCGATAGCCCCAATTGGCCAATTCAAAATAGGCCTCTCTGATTGGTTAATCATTGATGGTTACCCTAGGCACAGTCGATATGATTGGTAGTGGGCAATCGGGTTCGTGGGCAAACGGGACCCTTCCGGTAATATCTATCTCAAAAAACATTGTCTATTAGCGTTTTCGACTGTTCGGGTTTAATCGTTCCGGGATAGTTTACTCTAGTTTACTAGACGTTATTGACCAATGGCAGCCATTCTTCTGAAAAATGTAACCATATATTCTTCAGAAGATTGACTGTGATTGGTCAATAACGTCTAGTAAACTATTCCGGAGTGATTGAACCCGAGCAGTCGAAAACGCTATAAAAATATTTCACGATATCATTCAAGAAAAAAATTTATAAATGATTTAACAATAATTTACCATGATTATCTTCTTATAAAAAGAAAATTACTGTTAATAATAATATTGTGCCACGTGCATCAATAACCGATGTTAATTAAAGCAAATGACTGCATTCAGTAGGAAAAGCTGCTTTGCAACTGTATAAAATTCGTGAATCTGATTGGTGTATTCTCTTAGATTCAGTCAAAATTAAGAGTATACACCAATCAGACTCATGAATTTTACACAGTTAGCAAAGTAGCTTTTCCTGCGGATGACACCCGATTGACCACATCGCTAATTGGTCGATTCAAAATAGGACTCTCTAATTGGTCAATCGTTACTAGTTACCCTAGGTACAGGTCGATATAATTGGCTGTGGTCAATCGCAACGTGGTCAAATGAGGCACTCTCTTTTCCTGCTAAACGCAGCCAATGTTTTTAGTAAACAATAGTATTACGGCTGCGGTCGGGAAGACTCTTTGAATGCTTTGAAACATCATTCTATCTTTATTCTCATGGAATGTAGAACAAAGATAGAATTATGTTTCAAAGCATCCAGAGCGTCTTCCCGACCGCAGCCTAAGTTGAAATGACACAAGAATGTCCCAACTCTATCTGTATTCTTTTCTCTTATTTGTATCTTCTCCTTTCCTCCAACAAAGGAATTACTCATTTTCTAGTATATGTAAAGAATTAAAGATATAAAAGAAAGAAAAATAATAATATTTTGTGAAAAGATATTGTTTTATTCTTTGTAAGTATACTTTCATGATTTAAAATAAATTATTATGTGTAATTATTACGTTTTTAAAAAATATACTATACCTAATATATATTATACTTTATTACAGAAAGCATAATAAAACTGTTAATAAGTTTGCTAATTTGTATTTTAGGTGAACAATTATATTATAATAAGATATACAATTCATGATGTCATTGTTGGTGGATGCAATTGCCCATAGTCCAGCAAAGGCAGTTATAAACATAAATATTTTAAGACAAATAGAAAAAGATCTTGATATAGATGAGAAGATCTCTGTATTATTTTTGATAATAGAAGATTATGCAAATGCATTTAGAGATATTTTTGATCTTTTTCAAAAAGAACAAAAGACAGAAAATTCATACATAATTGTAGATTATGTAAAAAAGTATCCGGAAAATTGGGAAGATAAAATTTTAGAAGCATTATGTATTCTAAATAATCGAGAAGTAATAAGAAAATTAAGAACATCTTTCGAAGAGTTAGATAAACACTACGTTCCAAACTGCAACTCATATTCAAAAAATATAAACATAGTTGCAAAATGTTTATATAAACTATGTGAATCTTTGAATGAAAATGAGCAAAAACAGTTATTAAGCTATATAAAATCTGATAACTCTAATTATGAATTATTATTAGATAATATAGATTATCTTGAATTGCATATGCTTTATTGGATGCAAATTACGTATATTACAATTTCAAAAAGTACATATTTAATTTATTATATAATTTTTGAAACAGTTTTATGTAACAGTTTCTGTGACAGTTTTTTTCATACAAATTAATTGAAAACATGTCACAAAAGATAGAAATTTTGTAGATATGATATCGATAAAAATATTTCAGTTTGTATATATTTCAAAATATATACACGTGACAATTCAAAAATCAAATTATTTTGAATCCAAGAGAGATTTATTACTTTTATTAACTTAGAAAAAATACAATAAAAATACAATATATAAAATATAAAACAATTTAATAATCAAATTTTACATTAAACAAAATAAAAATAATTGCAAAATTTAATTATCAAACTGTTTACACAATTTTTGTACTTTAGACTAACAAAATTGATAAACTTCTTGTATTCGAAATATAATTTGATTTTTAAATAATTTTTCTTATATTTGTCTTCAAATAACAGCAGAGTAGTTTCAAGAATTTTCTAATTGGCAATTTATTTTTATGATACTCAATTGATTCTTATATACAAAGCTATAAATAAAGCTATAGATAAAACATAAATGTAAATCAGTAAAAGTTTAGACCACATAACTACAAATACTCTTATTTCTATTTATTCATATAATTTCAATATATACAGTTCTGCATGTTATCATATCATCATTGTATATTATGCAAAAGATTTTTATGCAAAAAATTTAAATATATAATATATGAATATATGAATATATATAAATATATGATAATATATATATATATATATATATATATATATATATAATATATATAATAATATATGAATATATAAATATATGAATATATAATATATGAATATTTGGAAATATTACATATACAACAAAAGAAAAGATAATTTTTACACTTAAAGAGCAATATTTTATATAGAACTAGACTAATATTAAGTTTAATAGATTAATGTATGAGCATTATAACTAGTTATATAATTTTTATTGTCATGAATTTTTATAATACAGTTCTATTTTAGATGAGAAGCATAATATGGAAAAATTATTAAAACATTTGAAGAAATTTGAAGATTTAAAAATAATTTCTATGGATTTGGAGAAATTTGAAAATCGATCGAATGTTGTTGATACTTGTGGGAATGTTGGAACAAATGATAAAAACTGTCTCCATCCAATTTCTCCAAGAGAACCATTTTTTACAGAAAAAAATAACAATAAAATGCAATTTATTAATAATGGACTCTGTATTATTATAAATCAGATGTATTTTGAAAAAGAGGTATTATATTATTTATCATATTATTTATAATGTTTAATCTAAAAGAAATTATTTAATTCTGTATTTTTTCTTTTTCCTTTTAGTATAAGACACGATTTGGAACTAATACAGACCGTAATAATTTATCTGATACATTTAAATCTTTTGGATTCAAAATCAAGATATTTGAAAATTTAAAGAAAAAAGAAATGTTAGAAAAAATAAAAAATATTTCAAAAGACTATGGAAATAAGTATGATTGTTTATTTCTATGCATTTTAAGTCATGGATATAAAGGTAAGAATAATAATTATTTTCTTTCCATATGTAGAGTATCATCCATTTGCTTCATGGCAAGTATTCAATATAGCAATTTTTTTTAAAGAAAGTTGTCTACATCTGAAAATACATAAAATATTATATATGTATCTTATAAAATAAGATAAAATAGTAATGAGAGTAATATATATATATATACCGATACAGCACAGAATATTGCAGCAATATTATTAATATTGTTGTAACATTGCAATATTGCTGCAATTTTCTGTGCTATATAGGTATATATTAAGTACGTTTATATATTCGTACTCATCTATTGACAACAACTAGTTAAATGGTTGAGTGATAAATTATGAATTTACATTACAGGAGGTGTAATTGCATCAGATGAAAAAGAAGTTTCATTGGAAGCAATTGAAAAAGCTGTTTGTTGTATAGAATTGAAAGATGTTATAAAAATTATTATTATTCAAGCTTGTCAAGGAAAGACACGTGGTAAGAAAACAAAATTAAACAAAATTGTAATAAAAAAAATTATATTTAATAAAAATTTAATATTGTACATAATAAAAAGTTGTAAAGTTTTTGTATGTTGATAAGAATATTATAATTTTGTAAGATGAGGAAAACTATTTGTTGCATATAAGTTGTAGTATATTTAAATTTTTCAAATCTTTCCATTAATGTTTTTTCTCTTTATGTATGTATGTGTCTGTATATGTATGTATGTATGTATGTATGTATGTATGTATGTATATATATATATATATATATATATATATATAGTATATATAGTATAGTATATAATAATATATATATATATTTATAGTATAGTATATATAATTTAGTATATAATTATATATATATATATATATATATATATATATATATATAATTTTATTATATAAGTATATTTAAAATTACAAAGAGCAGATTTTGTTTCCAGGAAGTATAAATAATTGTTTGACTACTGATGGTTTATCTGATTTTTCTATTATGGAATTAGAAGATATTCGTCAGTTTAGAAAATTTTTAATATTTATGTCAACAATACAAGGTTTTGTATCAGTACGTCACGAAGATGAAGGTAAATAATGACACTTGAAATATATTTTGCATAATTGAGTTTTAATATTTGTAATAATCTATTATTTGTTTTATTCAGGTTCATGGTTTATACAGGAAATTTGTAAAATTCTCAAAACTTATGGAAATCATTTACCTTTCATTGAATGCGTTAGAAAAATAATAGCATCTATGCAAGAGAAAAATGGAGAAATAGAAGGGGTTCAAATTGTACAATTGCCAGAAATACGTATTGATCGTTTAGATGCAGACTTTCAATTGAGAAACATAATTACTCCTGCACTTTAAGTAATAATTATACGTTTTAAATATTTTTTTTGCTATAAATACATATGTAAATAAATAATTTATGTTAATAATATAATTTAAAGATTTAAATGAGGATTTTATTTATAAATCAAGAAAAAAGTTTTTTAGGATAATATTAATAATAAGAATTTTTATAATATTTATAACATATTTGTACATATAAGATTATGTATTAAACTTTATTTTCACGTGTGACATAATAGAAAGAATTATTTCAATTACTGATAATGATTATAATTATTACTAATTATCCGTAAATGATAATTATTTCTAAATATTATAATTATTTCTATGTTACTAGTTTATGAGTATATATTATTGTACATTACTGTCTTCTGTTGAATTGAAATATGCATCAATTATTACGCGTATTATAAAGAAATATAGAAACTCAAAGATTGACATGAGACTGAAACCAGCAAATAATCCGAGTAATCCACCGAATGATGCTAAAAATATTACTACATATTACTATCTGTATATGTAATTTTTTTTAACCTGAATGTTTATATATATATCTTACCGAAGATATTACGCCAACTATAAATAACTGATCGTCGATACTTAATGGCAACTAAATCGTTGAAGAATACATGTACTATAGTGTGATTGAGTAAGCTAGTGCCGTTACTGCAAAAATATAATAATAGTATTAGTACCTACATGGACATATTTAAATCTATATTAATTATTTTCAGGTTAATGTTAATTCTCACGTGCATAGATTTTAAGAATGTTTTAAAAATATTGTATATTTTGCGCAATTACTACATATAGCCACTTGCGTACATTATATATATATATATATATATATATATATATATATATATATATATTCTAGACAAAGTTATTAGTAGAAAAAAATAAAATGTTTATGACATATGATTTTTTGTGGAAAAAAGAAAAACATATTTCTTTTTAATTTTGTTTTTTTCCAATTACTTAATATTTTTATATTTGGTTGTTATAAATTGATCTTTTATTTATTATTTTTGATTTTTTGGATAATAGATTTGAATTATTTGCTATTATTTTAAAATAAGATTCTAATTGGCTATATAATTATGTAATTACTATTTTTAATTAGATAAATTTAGATAATTTTGAGTTACATAGACATTTTTACATATTTAAAATTTTAAGAAAATTATCCGAACCATGTATTTATATTTGGAATGATTTGCTATAAAAGTGTATCATGTTAATTTATTAAAATTATTTTCAAAAAGATAAAGATACATGAATTTTAGTTTTTTTAATATATTAACTAAAAATGACAAAGAAAAATAATGTTATATTAAATAAAAACTAAATTTATTTTTTTTTAATGAACAAAAATATATTTTTTATTCAGTTTATGTTTTTTGTTAGAAATAAAAAAATCTTTTACATCGATATTTCTATAATAAGAAATACATCGTATTTGAAGGCGATAATTACGTTAGAGAATATTTTGTCCATATAAATTATATATAAATTAATTTGTTACCGAGAGTTCTTTAAAAAACCATTATCGTTATAGTAAGTAGTAGAATCGAGCGTTCCAAAAGAGCTTTCCAAAGGATAATAATATAGATTGCAATCGGGTATGCATCCACAAGGTCCTGTTTCCATATTCTTTATCTTTTGTGATAGTTTGTTGTCATTTTCATCCACATTTGGCCATGAAGCATCGAAAAACGCTGTAAGAAACAAATATATGTAAAATAAACTACAAGATAATTCATTTTAATCGATAAATACAAGATGTCTGGGAACAGGGGTTATAAAAAGGGAAAAGGTTTTTTTTGAAAAAAATGAGTCAAAAATGTAAAATAATATTTATATGTATATGAGACTTCATTTTTTAAAATAAATTATTTGTTCAAAATTAGAGTGATTAAATATGAATGTATGTATATATATATGTATGCACTTACACTTATATTTTAGTAAACATTGGACATCCCTGAGGTTACATACTCTGGTACCTGGAGTAAAATATATTTATCTTGTTTTAGAATGTATCCCCTGTCTACAATGTGCAATAACTATTAAAGTGTAAAAATACATTTAACAAATATTGATTGTATGAAATTGTTATGAAAATATTTGAGATTGTTATGAAAAAAATCATTTTATGTAATATATTTTATGTGTTATGTTCTTTAAAAAATATTAATATCTGTTTTAAACTTGAAATAAAGAAACTGATACGGCTCTATTGTATAAATGTAAAAAAAACGCAATTTAAATTCTTCCTGCCAGTAAGAGATAGACGCGCGGATAATAGAATGTGTAATTTCAAAAAATTAATTTTCTTTGAAACTAATGCACTATTATTCATGTGCCTGACCTCATATTACGATCTGGAATTTAAAAAAATTTATTGTTTTATATAAAATTACAGAATTATTTTAAATTATAATTGTATTATCCAGCTGAGTAAGCATATAATCTATTTTAATAATATTATTATATTATATTATCTATTTTAATAATAAAAGATTAAAAAACATATTAGTGAATTAACTTTCACTGTAAAAATACATAAAAAAATGAAAACATTTTATTTATATAAACGATTTTATTTTTTATTAATCAAAATTTTTCAATAATATATTTTATATTGAATAGATGGCACAGAAGAAAGAGATTACAAGTTATAAAAATTTTTCTATATATCAAAAAATAAATTTGTTCGAATTAACTTTCTATTTTTGTCTTTACACATACTTTTTCTTCTACTTACTATTTTGTGGAAAGTAATAAGGGATGCAACCGCATTTTGTTCTTACAATGCTAGCTCGACATTCTGCAAGGCAGTTGTGATATGTATATATCGCAAAAGTTAAATTTCTCTTTTTGACATTTGTATATAGTGTTTTGTTTGCTTCATCACTAAGTATACATTTTCGTGTAGAAATCGCTAAATTCTTCATATCGGAATTTGAATACATTTCCACGGGTCTAATACTCAGGAAATGTTCACTATTTGCTCGTGCTAACTGAATTTCGGAATTAAAATCTGGATAATCGAACGAGTAATGTATCATGACCTAAAACATATAATAATACATTATTAAAAATTTACTTATTAAATTTATTGATTAATTAAATTTATAATTGAAATTTTGAAAAATAATACATAAAACTCAAATAAAAAGAGAATTATACAAATAGTAGATATATATATATAAAATAGTAGATATATATATATATATATATATATATATATAAAATTAAATATTACAAATTTATAAATGTGCTTTATGAGAAATCGGTTAATTGTAATTTTTCCACCGATTAATTATAGTAATATGATTATTGAATTGTTTTAATAGAAATTTTATTTTTAAAAATGTTATTTTAAATAACTTAAAGAAAAAAATTATTTAAATTACCTTTACTCCATATCCCCCGATAATAGTAGAATAATAATCTTTGGGATCATTATCTAGTATTACAGTCATACCAGTCTCGAAACCACAGGCAGTAGATCGCACCAATCTTTAACAAGAAAAAAATATGTTAATCAAAAAATATATGCAATATTAATACGATGATATTATATTTAAATAAATTAAATACAGAACTGGATTTTAATCTTCGTAGGTTTTATAAATTTTTATATAATATATTAAAATAGATAAACACGATGTTTTTTTAATTAATATTTTTATTCCAAATTAAATTGTAATAATAAAATTTTTGTGCATTATTTTTTTTCTTCCACAATTTTTTTTATGTATGTGTACGTATATGTTTGTATCTATGAAAATATACGCATCTTAAACGTATATTTGTATGTGTATAAAACATAAACATGACATATTTATAACTTATGGCAATTATTTGAACATATTTAAAATTTAATGTAATTATTGCGCATATACACACACACACTCGCATCTCATAATTTCTGGACAATATTTTAATAGCATATTCTAAAGATAAAATGAAAGCAAAATTTTTAATGCTAAAAAAAGAAGATAAATTGTTTCATAAGTCTTAAATATCATGCCTATAATGTAAAATTTAATTCTATAAAAATTTATACTTCTTAGGTATTGTATCTGGATAAACATAATAATTAAAACTGCAGCATAAGCCATCCCGTGCCAAAGCTGGCTGGAAATATTTGTAACAATGATCGACTGTGCCCTTCCACTTGCATCTTCTTATTAAGGTACTGCAATTTTGTGTAATCTGGAAAGAAGTAACAATTAGTTCTTTCAAAACAGCAGTGCTGAAAGTTAAAATACAATGTATAAAGTATGTCTTAATTTATAATAGTCATAATTTATAATAATATCATAAAATCATTAATTTAATAAACTAAAGAGATAGAACATAATTTTCTTTATACATTCGCGATATGTTCGAAAAGTTTATATTGAAACAGAAATCTCTTAATTACTACTAACGCGCCTAAATTGTAACGGAGATCGCTACTCTTAAATCGTAATTGCTCTTCCTACAAAGTAATTTCTGAAATAAATAATGTTTCTCTTAATAATATTCCTCATATATTTAAACAAGAAGGATAGTCATTGGACAGATCTCTGCTATTTAATCAAGAATTCTTTCCAAGAACATGACAAACTTTCCACTCTTTCAAAAACTCCAGAGAATTACAATTTTTGTTATTAGACCTGAACTCACAACAAGTAAACTTTTAAAAATTGGAATAGAAAAGCTCAACATGTTCTTTAATTTGCTTTTATTCTCAGGAGTCTGAGGGAAAACTATGCGAACCGTATCACACAACATTGGATAGTATAAAACATCTCATAAATCTTTCTAAAGTATGGGCAAAAGAGGTCTTCTAATATAAATACTTTTAAATGCAATTAAACTTTACATTAAAAATGTAATTATTTATCAATTTATAGTTAATTTAACAGACGGTTTAAAATTCGGTAAATTAAAAAATTGCAGCTCCTTTTTTGAAAAACTTTGAGAGTAAAATAATGTTTTTTTTATATTTGCAAACGAATCCAAGATTCCAGATATGAAGTTCTTAGACTTTTTGGCGATTTTCATACATGAGTCTGTCTCAGATAGCTTGAGGACTTCTCAAGATTCCTTTTTTCTTGTTAGAGATTATGGCCATCTTGGTGGCAGTTAGAGCGGTGAAAAATTTAATTCTATCAATTCACCATTTCTTTTAGATTCTAAAGCTGTATGAGAGAGAGTCTTATGATCATTATTCCCCCCCAGTACATATTATTTTAAAAAAATAATATTACTAATAAAATAAAATAAAAATTATTAATATATATATATATATATATATATATATATATATAAAACATACAAATTTTTCAATTTATAAATTTTATCTTTTTATTTATAATTTTTTATCTATATTTATTGTTATCTAAAAATTGATATAATCCTATGTAACAAATGTACCAAGAAAATTATGTGAAATTTACATTCAGTTTCTATTTCATATTCAGTTTATTGACTTACTTAATTAATAATTTTATGAAGTTAATTATAAATTAAGATACACATCAGTTTAGAAAATGCGATATAATAACAGTCATCATCTCATATACATATATACATATGTACTTTATATATAAATATACTCTTTATAGATATATTATGTACATATGTACATGAGAAATACTTTTAATACATACCAATTGTATTACATCAAGAATGGACATACTGTTATCATCTATAATATCTTGTAAGCGAGTAAGATTTTTCTCAACGTCATATCCGAATATTCCTGGTATTAACAATTCATTTATCAATCGCATTTCTTCAATTAAAAATTTTTTCGACATATTGGATGGTGTCTTCCTGAAAAAAAAATACGGTTGACACAGCAAAAGATAAATAATTTTTGTAGCAATATTATGGGTAGTAGCAAGAATCTCTAATATAAAACATATGCCAAATACTCACAAATTTTTGACGAATTCCTCGGTCAATTTGTAAGATACGCGATTAATATCGCATATTGTTATTGCAGGAAATGGATAATTCCCTATTCCATTATGCGTTGATTCGATAACTGTCAAGGTGGGATGACTAATATAATAATTCAAAGACATTTTTATTAAAATGAAAGCACAGCATAATGATGTAATTACCGTTATCGCCCAAATAATCCTATAAATAATTGTCGATAATACACGCATAATTGTATTTATCTAAATATTAAGTTAAACACATAAAAAAATTCGCACACATTGCTTGTAAATCGAAATTGGTTTTCAATGATAATATTTTTAAGTTTATATATATTTTTATAGATTTTTTAAATTAAAAGAAAATATTGTTTACATTCTCTTTTTTTTTCTCTCTCTCTCTCTCTTTCTTTGTAATTATTATAACGATTATTATTCGAATTATTATTTATAACTTTGTAACTATTATTAAAACTAAATAACAGTCTCAATTTAATAACGGTATAAATAAACAATGATAATTAATAAAATAGAGTATAAAAGAGGGATAAAAACACAAACACACACAAGAGGCTGTAATATAAATCTAATATAAATCTAAATATAAATATAAACATAAACGTAGAATAAATTAATATATAAATATATTATTATATAAATATATAAATGTATTAATATATAAGTATAAATATATAAATATATAGAATAAATTAATTTAATTATCTGTTTATTATAAAATACTAAACATAAGAAATTCATACATACCGCTCCGCTTTAGGATGTTGAGTTTGACTGATATATTTGTAACCGTGTAATCCAGTGTTGGAGCAAAAGTCGGCGGCCTGTTTTTTCAGAATATTCCACCATCCTATTTTCGAATACTTAAATCGATTTTGCATCCTGACTTTCCTCATATTTAATTGATTATGTATAAAGTTCCAACGAATTGCAAATATTAATTGTGATATATGGATATGCAAATTGGAAAAAGTATAAAGAATTCTTCATGGATACGTTAGCGCGTTATCTGCTGCGTTATGGAGTAAATAGCAAAAGCATACAATGCAAAAGTACACGCGCGCGCGCGCGCGCAACATAAAAAATTCATTCGACCTTCCGTCGATAGATGCACGATAATTTCTACTTTTCTAGTCTTGCGATTTTATCCTCATATAATTAATTATTAACATTAAATTTAATATTAAAGCACAACTAATGCGAACATTATACATTTCCATGCCATTTGCGACTCTACTTTTTCTCATTGTAACATTTCCGTTTACATTTCGTGCCAACAAAATGTTTATCTAGTGAACATTAATGATAATTGCGAGTTGATCAGAAAAGATAAAACGTTGTTAAATATTGTCATTATATACAAATATGAAATTTATACTATATTTATATGATATATAGCTTATAACATAGGTTTTTATATAATTTATTTGTCTAGAAAATTAGTCTTTTTTTATTATATGCAGAGTGATCTTTCTTGCAATTATTTTCAAAACTAGTAGCTACAAAAAAAATATCTTTCGGAAAATTATTTTGTTTCAAAGGAAAAATGGTTAATGTATTTTTGTTATGTAACTCTCTTTGATTTTTACATGATCATAAATTTAGAAAAAAGCATACAATTATGTTAAAAGGAAAAATACAAATAATCTTCAAATCTCGAAAATGATTTCATTTTAATAATAGCCACGATATATATCGAAATTTATTCAGTATTACAAATCGATTCTTTGTTTATCATGTTTAAGTCATGATGTATAATTTACAATTACATGTTAAATATTTTGACAATAAAGTTTGCAAATAATAAGCAAATATTTTTAAAAGAATCTCATATGTATCGGAATAATTGTTTACGCTCTCACTAAAAAATTTTAAATTGAAGATATTTTGCTTCTGTGATATAGCACTTTATCATGTGTACAATCAAATTCGATCATATTCATAAAACAAGTCATCGTGAGGGATAGGATCAGGATCTTTATCGACTCTCTGATTAGCCAAGGTAATGACGTGTTCACACACGGCATGATCATGGTGTTTAGCACTTTATCTGCTTCCTCGAAGTTATTAATGATAGTAGCTGAGTCAGACGTCGCGAGACGCGGGGGTGATATGGCGACAAGCGACATCTTCAAAGTTTAATATCCACGCGACTGAAGAGTCGCTTTTAGCCGTGAAGTCCTGCTACTTGTAGTCTCTTGCCGAGTGTATACTTATACCAATATCATTGGATCTTTGTCTTCAATATCTCTCGGAATCGAGTATCTTCGCGAGTGCGACTTTATTTCAAATGAGTTCCATAGAATAAGTGATTAGATCATAAAAAGAATTCGGAATCACTTGAAGAAAATCGCGATCGTTTCTTCAACTGGGTAAGTTGCATAAAATTTTTAAGAATCATTTTATGTATAAAAATTAAAATTATATAAATTAAGGTCAAGAGAATGAGACGATAAAATGTTAATCAATAAATTTTACTATAAATATTATTTATAATATTATTGATCTTATTTTAATCAGAATTATTAATAGCTTGAATAGTTTTAGTATTTTCCTATATTATTAGCAGGCAAAAGATACTCTATAAACAAAAACGTAATAAATATGCTTTAAAATTATTTTGATTTTGATTTTATGTAAAGGGCACTTTATTATGAAAAAATATAATAATAATCAAATAAACAATATAAAAGGACAGATTCAAGTGCATTTAGGTTGAGTTGGTCACCAGTAGGGTAATTTTAATTATGAGATAGTTCATCCCAATGTCGAGGTTTCAAGTAGAGAAAATTACTGCTCATGGAAGGGATGAATCTGGCGTAGATGGGGTAACAACGTATTATACATTTCCCTGTCAACCCCCTCGCACTAACCGCAAGCCCTTCCTACTCACCCTTCTCTTGCCAACAATTTGTTAACTGCTATTGAATTGACTTCACCAGTAACTTCAAAGTGTACGCTCATTAAAACGTGACGACCTTGTCATACAGACACATACACAACATATATTGTTGCTTAAATGATAATTGCTGCTCGTAAATGATGTGTTTTATTGATTATGACATAATGATTACATGATTAAAACAAGATAGCGAGAAAATAAAAAACTAATAGATTTAATTTTAGTGGACATGCAGGGCGAATAAATTTTATATTATTTTATATTTATATATGAATTGAAGAGTATATATAAAATAATACAAATAAAACAATATAATAATGTAAATAAAACAATTTATTCACAAAAACTTAAAAAGATGCACAAGATAAACGAATTTCTAGTATAAATAATTATATAAAATATTTGTAAATAATTGTAAATGCAATATTTTTTTCACTCCAAAAATTTTCATTAGAATTGTTGATAACTTAATTTTAAATTTAATATACAATTTATAATAAAATAATAAAAGTTTTATTTATGCAAAATTTCTAGCTTAAGTGAAATAAAAAGAAATCTTCCATATCGTAACATCATATCCTTGAATAGCAATATATTAAATGGCAATATATAGTACTAAATCGCGTGGCAAGAGTTGAGCAGCGAATTGTTTAAAACTACCCTGGGACACGGTGTACATTGCGGGGGTAGATAGGTAGTTTAGAAAGAAAGACGGTTATAGATATGAAGAGTTTCCCCGGGGATTTGTACCCATCTATATGGCATCTGTATTATGATGAAGGCAGAGAAGGGGTAACGCATTTCGCGGCACATTGAGTCCACAGACTTTAAAATAGCTCCAAACCGAATCTCCGAATCGTATATATGGGAAAAAATCCGTTTCACAAAACGCACGGGACATGACCCTTCTCTCACGCGCTCTTTTCATACTTTAATAGGTACATTAACATCGTAAATTTAATACTTGATTTACTATTCGATATGTTAAAATATATATCAAATATTGCGAACATGATATTAATAAATTGAAACTGTTAACTATTGTTTAATGAATTAATTTAAAAAAATAGAATCACAATTTTTCTTAATAATAAAAAGAAAAAAAAGAGATTAATATAATAATAAATGTTCAGTAACATTGTGTTTATTTAAAAAATATATGTAAAAATATAATATATTCAAAAAATTCTGTCTATTGATTTTTACAAATCAGGTACTATTGATTTTTATTACACAGTTAATTTTATCATTTTTTATGATATGTCGTATTACAACAATCAGTTAATTAACGAGTTGCAAATGATATAGATATACAAATATTAAATTCTTTCCTAAATAACAATTTAATGGGATTGATTAATTGGGATTGATTAATTATTATATTTAAATAAAACTATAAATCTACTCTCATATGTTTAAAAATGAGGTTCATTTTTAGTTTGATAAGAAAAATGATTATACAAATAAATTCGTTTATTATTTGTTTCGTAATAATCAATAACATATAATAAATTGATATATGTATAATAGTTACGAACCTGAACGTGCGAAATCTGTGCAATATTATTGATAATATAAATTATTATATTTCTCCTATCTGTGTCCTCTGCTTTTTTTTCTCTTTTTTTACGCAAAATATTTTATAATTATAGTGCTCACTAATTAAATGACATTACTCTTTGAAAAATGAATCCTTAATCCTGAATTATTTTTTCTGTGTGCATAATGAAGAAAAAATAATAATGAATTATAAAAATGATAAATATAATTTTTATTCGAAAGATGATTAAAATTTAAGGATTAATAATTCATGATTAAAAAATAAGAATTAACGATTACTAATTTTGCAATTATAAGTGTTTAAATAATTTCAATAATCGATTAAATCATATATGATTACATATTTAATTAATATTTTAATTGATTATCTTAGTTAAACATCAAAAATTAAATTAATTAATTAAATACTGTTTATAATATTTAATTTTATTAATTGATTAAATTAAATCATGATTCTTTATATTATAAATTTTTAATTTAATTCTTTCATTCAATTATTTTATTTAATAAGAAAATTAATAATCTTTTACACAATCTATTAAAGTTTATTACAAACAGTGATTCAGAATGAATCACTGTTTGTATATACACTATATATTATGTCTGAGCGAATTTAATGCAAAATTTTGATTTTCTAGAAATAAATACTAATATTTGCTAATATAATAAGTGAATTAATATCAAGTGTCGATGTTTTCGAATAGGCCATGAAAGAGATGCGCTCCAACACGAATTGCTCCGTCTTAATCGAACGTTCTCACTCGATGTGACATCCGTGAAGACGAGACCCTTTCGATTGCGTATACCTCGACGATAAAACCTCCTTTGCGTGGATTAGTTCGCTCAATCAGGAAATATACTCAGGGGCCCCCATAAAGTCTCTCAGCGCGTGCAAACCCCTATATATATGTACCATTGCTATATACCACTCTGTCCTTCTTTCTATGTATCTTCCTTTTTTCCCTTATCGAACTGCGCAACTAGAGTACATGCCGATAGATAACGTTTGATGATACTTTATATGGCGAAAATTTATGGCACTTGCAAGTTATACGAATTTTAACTCTTTATAATAATATTCATAATAATATTCATAATAATATTCATATATATGCAGCATGAATTGAATACAATATTTTGTAACATTCATTCATTATATCAAGAAATTTTACTTTTCATTTTTACCATTTAAATAGAAATAGAATTAATATCGAACAACGAGACTGTAGTAAATCATTGTCGTAAGATAATAATCTATCCATTATTTAGTCATTAGCTATACAAAGTCTATCTGTCGCACTCTATTCAGGGTCACCATAATACGAGGAGAACATTTTATTTCCGATTAGTTTACAGAAAGTATGTTTGCGATGTTTACGATAAGCATAAATTCGGAGAAGAGATTTTCGAGGGATCGCATTTTGCTCAGTATTGAGGCGTATCCTGATGGTTAGTTCTCTTGAGTATGGCTAGATCCGCCGGATCGTTCTCTAAAGTTCCCGTAATACCTTACGAAAATCTTGCCAAGAACTGAGAATTCGGGACATGGCCTGGGCGGATCCCTGGTGCCGATCTTTTAATCGTAACTCGCGGAGATACACTTAAACAGATAAATTTATTTTATTGTTTTCACAATGATATGGCGGCATCGAATCTTTGCGAAGAATATAAAAAGACAGTGGTAAAGGTGTATTCAAGATATATAATAGTAATTGTTTTCTTGAAATTTTGACTCTTCTTAAAATCAACATAGTGAATCTATGTTGTATATAAAAAATGATGATCACATAAATGATTCTTAATACATGATGATTCGTATATGAATCTCAAAAATGCGCATTATGTAAGAAAATTAATTTCAATAATTTCTTTTATTTTATTTTTATATAATTTCATAAATATTTATATAAACAGTCATCTTCTATTTCTATGCATAAAAATATTTTTAAGAATTTAAAAATTGTTTACAGATTGAAATACATTTAAAGATATTTTCTAAAAAATAAAATTAAATAAATTCTTGACATAAAGTTCTTTTTCATAATATGCAATATTTAATTTAGCTTTAATATAAAATATTTGTATACATAATTTTTCTATATGATTATTGCTAAATCTAGTGAAATTATTTAAAAATATATTTATGGAATAATATTATTTTGCTTTAATATGGTTTATGATCAGCACAATTTTATTCTAAAAAAAGGAGAAAAAGAGGGAGAAATATAATATACTATAATAAACAAGATATCTTAATTTGTATATTAATTCATAATAATTATAATCGTTTGAGTTTGTTTTTGCTTTTTTAATTTTTTTTTAAATTTATTTAAAGGACGTGGACTAGAATTGTCAGACGTCACGTGTAACGCTGTCGCATGATCGGTTGTCTATTTTATAGGCGATCTAAACAAGGACATATAGTTCCTTAATTAAAAACGCATTGGAAGGGATACGAATTTCTTAACTAAAATTTATTTTTTTTATAAATCCTACCACATTTCTTGAAATTTGTCCTATAGAAATTTGAAACATCCTGTATATATGCATATATGCCATGTAAATGGACAGATCTGTATCTTCAAAATGATTAGAGATCAAGGAAATAAGAGATAATTAAATGGGCTTAAATTCGTCCCATTATTTTGCATTACTTTTATATATTTTTGTGCAGTTGCAAAGTGAGTTACATATTTTTAAAATAATTTCATATTTTTAGATATATTAATCGATGCAGTTTTTCATCTTGCATATAAAAATGTTAGAAAATGTTTTTAAATTAGTTAGTTTAGATTTAGTTATTTTAAATTTGTAAATAATATTTGGCTCTATTAACCAATTTCTTTTACCTTTTATATATGTACCTTTTTTATATGTAACATTTCTTATGCTTAAAAGTTTAAGCTTAAAAGTTTAAGTATGAACAAGTATGTTTGTAAATATCAATTTAATATCTTGAAATATAAGATATTTTGCAGTTAGCAAAGTAATTAATCGATAATAAATTAGTCAATTTTTATTTTATAATATCTTGATAATATGAAGAGAATGCGAGAAAATATCTCTATAAACAACAATCCAGATTATAATAACAGTGTTACCAATAGTATGTCGGTAAAGTGGGTTAAACAAAATTCTCTATCATTTTACAATTTGCGCAATAATTAATGAGAAATTAATTTAAAAAGATTAATTCGTGCGACGAAGCGTCGAGATTAATAATCAAGCGTTTAATTATGTATTGTGTTTAGCATCAAAGTGAAATGTTTTTTTTTCGCTTTATATTTGAGGGAACTTTTTGACTGATTTACGAAATTTAATTTTTCATTAATTAATGCAAAAATCATAAAATGATAGAGAACTTTTCAACTCTATCGTTTAATTCGCTCTACTTGCACACGAAACGTGATATGCGATTATTACTAGACAATATATATATATATATATATATATATATATATATATATATGACTTCTGAAATGCACGCAAAATACTAGTGAAAAAGTTCTTGAAGAAAATTATTTGCTATTTTTTATTCCAAGTAATAGTTTTCGAGATATAAAAGTTTAAAGCTATTCAATCACAGGATATTAAACAGTCGTCTTTGTGAAACATATATGTATCATTATTATTAGTATATACGATTCACGCGCAGATAAACCTGTTACCAGTTAAACCTGTAATTAAGGTGAATAATACTATTATATGTATATTCCTTCACTTATCGTTACACGACAAAATCGCATTAGTATTCAATTTTTCACCATGAAGTCAATATAAAACCTACAAAGGATGAAAATGTTACTAAATAAAATCTAAATTGCCTTTAATTTTTAATACAATTAGTTTAATTTTTTTAATTAAGTTTAATTTTTAATACAATTTAAACAAAGGAAATTAAACAGGTTACTTTAAATTGAACAGATAAAAGTCCATTTGTTACTTATTTAAACAAAAATGGAAATCTTTATATAAATTAAATCCTGAATTTTATAAATTAAATATATACAATTCATTTTATTTATTTAATTACGAACTTTACATAGAATTAATATTCTATGGATCCCAACTTTATGTGGAGTATAATTACGATATAACAACGATATAACGTATATTACATGTAATATTTATGAAAGAAAAATTACAATTAATCCCGACACTTTTACCGATAACACTTATGTATACTACTTGTAACATTTTATTTTATTGCTTTTATATAACATTAATATAACAGCGGTTACTGGATTATCTGTGACATAAGGTGCGCTAGCCGTTCATGCGAGGATTATCGCGGCTGGATAATTCTGGGCGATATAAAACATGGCGAGAGATTACGGTAAGTGTATGGTCAGCCCCGGTATAAGATCGAATAATATGTGGACACTTCGTGTTCTCCGCTCACGGGCTGCCGCGAGTGCGCGCGCGACTGAAGAATGAATATTCAACAGTAAACACTGGTTACGCTTGTAGAGGGTCCAGGCAAAGGGTGCTGCTGAGAGCACCCGTTGGCCGATCCGGCAGCGAGGTCACCATGCCATGGACTCCGCGCGGACATAAACGCGGTCTCTCGCGTGCAGAGAAAGCTGAGAGAGGGACGTTGTTTACGATATTACATCTATAATACCAGTCAAGTGGCCAGTGTCCGGTCATCGCCGTAATCTCCTCTGCGCCAGGAGCCGCAACCCTTGCCCAGATACAGCACGTCGCGTCCCGTACTGAAATTATAATAATGTTCAGCGTGTATCGCGCCGCTTTAACGCCTTTCCTCAAGTGCTTCACGAGCATAATGTCGCGCGTATTAAAGCTTTTTTTGAGATGTCAGGGATTATAGCATACATCGTATCATACAGCATAAAATTTGCGTAATATGTAGAGAAATATAAAAATATTTCACATAGTTATAACATTGATATAATATTTATTTATGTGTTAGCATGATTAAGGGAGCTTTTATACATTTTCAAATTATTTAAAAGAATATTGAAGTTTCGAGTTTGCATAATATACACGTAATACACATATTTCATATTTTATTTTATTTGGATATATAAAAAACATATTAAAAAAGCTTTCCAACTCTTCTTTTTTTAATTTAATTATATAATACTATGTTTGACATTATTTTTTTTACATTGTTATAATAAAAATACGGATAATAATTCAAATATGGATAATAATATTTTAGTAAATAAAAAATGATAATTTAATATTTTTTTCAGATACATTTTGCAAAACAAAAAAATATAAAATAAACAAATGTAGAAGTAACAATTGATTTTATGTAACTACGTCTAGTTTAACAAATGATGCTGATTGACATGATTGTATAACTTATTTGTAATTAATATAATGATATTACCGATGCTGTCTGCTGCAGAAGTTGGTGTCCGAAGGGCAAACATCGCCATGGAGGGAGATCGGTGTTTTGATTCTGGCTGTTATAGGGAAGACATATATCACTGATTCACCCCCATTGCCTATAGAAGGCAGTAGTTAGGGTGGTGATGCTGGGAGGGCTGAATGGACGTGTAGAATTTATTGCTCTTCTTGATATATATGATTATTTAAATCTTCTTCTTAAAGTTCTTGTCACATTATTCAATATTAGCACTTAGGATGTCCAAAATTATCACTTGAGCAATATTCAGATAATTTTTTTATTTTTATGTGCAATTTTATAGTACATTTCAAAATTAATCTAGATTGTGTGTGTGTTTAAATTGAACTACATGGCAATTAACAAATAAGGTGAAATAAATATCTATTCGAATAATTTCTTCAAAATATATTATTATATATTTATATATATTTATCATAATAATTTATCATATTTTTTTTTTGAATATATTAAGTAAGATTTGATTTTAAATTTTATTATCGAAATTATTTTCTTATATTATTGGAATAGCTTTTTATTACTTTATCTATTAGATCTGTTAGATAATTTTAATAACTTGATTTTAATTTATATATAGCCAGCTTATTTGAAAAAGAATTTTTATTTATTAAGAATTTTTATTTATTTCTGTATCTTATATTTCATTAGGAAATGAATTGTGTTTAGAATTTGAAACTTAATATCAATTTCTTATTTATATAATATCTATATATCTATATAATACCTATCGAGAAATTTTATTTAATTTTGAAGATATTTAAAGATTATGGGATCTTTTTATACACCCTATATATAGAAAGATAAAGAATAGAAACACTTTGTGAATACTAAACTCTATCGACGAATCATCCCGTTCACGGATTGACACAAGAGGTTGGATTCTGGTTCGTGGTAAGAATATTCAAAGCACATGGTTACATTTCACGCCTAATTTCTCGCGAATTCTATGCTGAATATTCTTCGTTCTCAATCTCATGCGGGCCACGTGTCATTTATCTCATAGGAGTTGGGAATTCTTACAGCGTCTTATTTCTTATATCGACTTATATTGATACTCCTATGAGACTTTTTTTATTATATCGTACTTTTGCAAAAATAGATCATTATTAAGATTACGCAATAAAATATTAAAAGCTATTGATCTTGAATATAATATACGTTTAATAACAATTATTATTTTATAATTACGTATATTTTTATATTTATTTTATATATATTATATTTACAACAATTTTTTTCATAGTGTGATTGGAAATTAAAGTCTCATCAAAAAACTAAACTTCTAAAATATAAAAAAAATGAACTTTATTGCTCATTTTTAATTTAGGATTATTTCGACGAACATTTATTAAAAATTAAAAAATAGCAATAATAAGAGATAAATTCTTCTCAGTGTTGTTAATAAAAAAATTTTATTTAAAAAAAATTTATATATCATGAAATCTTTTAAAATTAAAATTAAAGTTGCGCAGAATTGTAAAATAATTTTATGTAATTTTATTGCAAAATATAAATAAAATATATACAAACAAAATATTTTAATGTGTAGATCTGAAAATGGACAATTTTAAATCTGTAAATAACGTTTTAAAATCTAAATAGAGTTATATAATCTGATAATATGAAATTTACTTCGTGTTTTTATCTAGATTAATATATATCATGAAAAAGCGAGAATAATAATTAATAGATATATAAAATATGTATTTTATTATTATGTATAAATTATAAAAAAAGATTCTAATAATGTTTTAAATGAAATGTCTAATTGTTACTCTTATTAATATAACATTATATAATACATAATTAAGCGCTGTGTCTAGTATATCTATTTATTGTATGTAAAGAATATTTTCATTGCACTATAATACTGTAGAATAATCTAATATAATTAAAATTTGTTTGCTGCTATAATACTAGAAAGAATAATCAATTAATAAATTCAATTAGAAATTTTTTGGGAATTGTTTTTTTGTGAAAAATTAATATAATTTTTTAAATACATGCATGTAAATCGTCAAAACCACTCGAAGGAAGGAAAAAACATTTTTGGTCAGGTCGTTTGCCATGCTCTATGTGTGTCTATATATTTTCCTTCTTTTTGGTGCTCGCATATATGTATACATATATATACACGTGCACGCACACACGTACACACATGCGGACCTAGAAATTCATTAGGGGTATCTGATATTTCTGGTGGGTGCTTCGCGCCGGAATAAATCATACGTGCGGGCGGTCGAAAGCGTTTTGCCGGTACGCCGAGCCTCCTTCTTTCTTGGTGCACGCGCGATCTATCCGTTTTATCTCGATCGTAGCGCGATAGAATAGGGTGGCGGATATATACGCATACGAGGGCGAGTGCGAGGATAGTAAAAAATAAGGGGAAACGTGAAGAGAGAGAGAGAGAGAGGGAGGAAAAGAGAGCGAGGGAGGAAAAGAGTGGGAGAGAGCTGGGGGCAAGGGGTGGGACAGGAAGGGGGGTTAGAAATGTCCTTTAGTAGCGCATGAGAACGAGAAAGAGGGTTAAACGTTCGTACGTGATCCCAGCTTAAATCGTTCGTGGACATCGAGCAAATCTCGTTACCGACCACCCCTTCTCCCCCGGATTGTCCTTCCCTATCCTACTCCTTATGCGCGGACATCTCGAGAGGGTGGCATATATATACTCGACTTGAGGCAGAGAGGAGAACCGCTCTAAGAAGCTTCTCATTCCGATCGGCTCAATCTTACCGGCATTCGTGATCAACGAGGCGTAGCGCGTCTTGCCGTATCCATCTACGTAGTTTCGAAATTAATTTTGATATATATTGCGTGATTGAAAACTCGCGTTTGATCATGATCAACTGCAAAGACGATGGGCAGGTCTTCTTCGAAGATTATGATAGCGAAGGGATTTCAGATAAAAGATTCAGCTGGATATGTATGCAAGGATAATAAAAAGATTAATCTTATTTCAATAAAAAATATAACATTATACTTGCGTGAGGCTAATTTTAAACAAAAAAACTCATTTAAATGAAATGCTCAAATCCCTTTATTCAAAGTTTTTATTAATAAAGAATAATAACGTGTAATTGCATACACACTTAATTGCATTTAAGTAGTAAGATTAGATTTATTAAAATTTACTAAATTTATTAAATTTATTAATAAATTTAATAAAAAAATTCAAAAACTGTAATTTTTAAATAAAGAAGTAAATAAAAAACTAAATATATGTATGTCATTATGGTTATAGCTAGCGTGAATTATTCGTATATCGTATTGAAATTAATTTCAGCATGTAGCATCATAAATCAAAGGCGCTTGACTCTATAACGGGTGAGTCCTAAATCACAGCGTGGTAATTGCGGCACCGCTTGGCCGGATCTGCGTGCGGTTGTACATGTACCGTAACTGTTTAATAGATGAGAGTATTGAACGAAACATTTTATTCTACATTCAAGGGAAAAGTGTAATTGCGAAATTACATTTGGCAAAATACTATCCACTATCTTTTTTTTTCTCAACATTGCATCAATATGTGAGAATAATTTTTATTTTTTTTTCTCATATGCTTGGCTATATTTCGATCGATTTACTACCCTTATTGTAAGTAGCTCTTTCTGAATTTCATTGTGATTTGAATAAAAAATTAACTTTCATTATTGTTAGTCATTTTATCATTTTTTTTGATCATGCCTTGTAATTTTTTAAATAATATGGAATTTGAATATTTCAGTAATATTCTCTTTATGATTTATCACATATAATGTGTTCATTGATATGTAGATTATCTGAAATTGAATTCGATTTTTTCCAGCAGTAGACCATGACGGAGGATGCGACTGAGAAAGGAAAAAACGCGTGGCGCGTGAACCACCCTCGACTGAGAAGAATACATTTTTCCTTCTGTTTCTCGGAATAAAGGAAGAAAGGATATTCGCATGTTAACGGGAAAGAAATAAAATTCTGTGCGAAAGGCACGTCAAGCCACGTTTCCACGTCGTACTTTGGAGCGGGGTCGGTCAGTTTAAAGGCTGAGAAAAGAGAAAAGTGCACGTGAGGCGGTAGAATAAAGGGCCCGCGGGTCTCACAACAAGGCTAATTCGTAGCACAGCCCTTTTACAGATCGACATCACGTATGGCATTCGCCTGCAGGCACGATTCTGGTGAAAATTCGCGTTTTACTTTGCTACATCTTCATATATATTTCAGTGACGGAAAAACATAAAGGAATACTACGGTAAACCACATATCTATAAAATATAGAAATAAGTAACAACGTTTGCTTTTTTATTACAAATTGCTTTTTAATTACAAAATTAATAGATGAATTTAAAAAAATAATTCTTAAAATTAACAATAATTTTTTTAATTGCTTTTAATTAAAAAAAGAAACATCTTATTTAGGTTTAGAAAAGTAATTTTTTTAAATTATATTACATATAAAATATAGAAATAAGTGTAATGTGTTGCTCTTTTTTATTATAAAATTAACAGATTTGAAAGAAATAATTTTTTAAAACTCTACTAAAATGGATAGTATATATTAATAAAAATTTTTTGTTTTTATATTGGATTTAATTCCAGTTTGAAAAAATGGTCGTTTTTCAGTATTTAATTTATTGCAAATAGTTACGCTTCTTGAAAATAAAAAGGATAATTTAATGTGAATATGAATGATACATAAATTTTGTACAGATTACATTTTACTAAAAACAAAGCACAAGAGATATTAAAACAATTTAGTACTTTCAAAGAATATTGTACACACTTATAACATAATAAAAAATTGACAAAATATTAATAGTATACAGATGGTAATTTTATGAAACTCTACAGATATAAAATTCTATGTCTAATAAATTGGAAAGATTATTGCGCTAACTTTTTTTTATCATCACAATATCTTATCATACACTAATTACCATGACCATAATACGTATAGCCAGTATGTATGTTTTCGATTGCACTTGCAGTAGTAGAATTCCTGCACAGTTTGGAGCAGTCGTCGCGTCACTCGGTCAAGATTGCAGGAGACTCAATGACGATCGAATAGGGGAGTTGTTGAAGCACAGGAGGGTGGTGACAAGGATGGATGAAGAAGGGGCGAAAGGAGAGAGCGAGAGAAGGGGTGGAAGTGGAAAGAGAAAGAGTGTGGCCAGTGATTGGATTACAGTCAGGGAGTCCCAGTGGACTCGCCAAATGACCGGGACAAATTGCCCCTCGCCTTCGGGAATACTTATATATCCAGTGGCGATCGAGCTTCACGTGTTTTCTGAGGTCCCGTAGGTAACTTTTGTACACAACGTTATGCTCGTACGAGTGTCTACTAAAGCCATAGTGATAAGTTGCCTCGCACATTTAACACATCTATTAACACAGATATTCACTGGATAATCATACATAAGATTTATATTAAATTAATTAATATTTTTTTAACCTTATAATAATTGGAATTTTATAATGTTTAATGTTTTTATTAAAAATATTATAAATTTATATAGTTTTAATCAATGTTAAATTCTACAATATTATCAGTTTAGAACAAAAAAAAATGTATTTTTGTTTAATGTATAGAAAAAAATTAATTCTTATGTAGTTTTATATTTTTATTATTTGTATTTATGTGTGTAGAATATAAAAAATAAATTCATACAATTTTTTACTTCTAATATCATGACTTAATTTAGTTGCAGTAATGAATAATCAGAAATTTATATATTTTTATAAAATAAATTTATATATTTTGATTATTGAGATTTGAATAAAATAATCTTAAGTAAAATAAAATTCGATTATTGATCAAATAGATTACCAATTTTTATACAGAATGAATCCTAGTGATAAACGGTCGATTTCGAGACAATCGATGACAACGCGCGGGTAGAATGCGCTATATATGCTTGAGTATAGTTAAGGTACCAGCAGCGATTAGCTCGACCATTAAAGAGAACGGAAACAAGGAAACGTTATTGCCTAGTGGGAATCAATCGCGTTATCTCCGCGCTCAATTAGACTCGTAAAGAATCGTACATAGTCCATTGGTCTTCTTTGCTCCTGCCATATCACGCGCAATCATCTCTTTGGTTCGTTATTTTTTTCCGACGAACACGTGGTCATTTCTTCACGCGATGAAATCTCTATAAAGATACAGCATCAATTCTAACTTGCTTGGAATCTTGTAATGATACAATGAGATTTATTTTGGTTTAATTGTGAGGTTTATTTTGGAATAAAATTTTTCTACATTAATTTAAGATATAATATAATTCTAATCAATTTTTCATATCAATTTAAGATAATATTTTAATTTGTAATATTTTTTACACATAAACAATATAGAATAAATTTTTAGACACGATATTTAACTCAAATTGATTTAGTTTATGTGAACTCTCTATAGTAAATTCTCTTACTTGCAATTAGTATTATTCGTTTTTTGTATATTGTTTCTACATATGACACAAATAATTTTTATTAATAGTTATCGAAGATTTAAAGAGGAATTAAAACTTAAATTTAATTAAAAGATGAAGATATTCACGCTTTCTGCACTGGTCTTCATTAGCCTTTAATAGATCTCATTAACTCTCATTAGTATATTTTTCTCCTTGTTTTTATTTTATTTAAATATTTATATGCATTTTAAGATAATTATAGACTCAACAAAATATATTCTCTGAAGATGAAGAATCTCTTAAATCGTAACATATATCAATAAATATGATACAATTAAATTAATTAAAAATAATAAAACTTTATAAAATAAAAATTAATATTCTCTCATCAATTGATTTATTTTTATTTTCAGATTAGCGGCTTCACAAATCATTGTTATCCAATCAATGAAACATAGTATCAAGGATTGCTCTTGCAATTAAGTCGTAGTATCCTTTTCTCGTGGAAAGGAGTGCGAGTAGGCGGTAAGGGAAGAAGGATTTACTGCTGTTTAACCCCCGGAAACTTCTCCGATAAATAAGCCATACAAGCATCGGCATTCGCTCGCAAGGGCGATGGAGCAGTTTGTTGTCCCAACATAGGCGATCTGATTGCCCCGTTAGTGGACTCAAGTTAGCGCCAGTTCTGACTTTCACGAGTCCTCACGAGTTAAAGAGTTCCGGAGTGTGAGAAGGTGACGGAGGGGAAACGATAGGGAAGAAGACAAAATCCGAACGTTATTGGAAGAACAAAATTCGTTTCGGTGAAAAAGGCCAAGTGCAAAGTCTTGATTAGCAGCCTTTCTTGATTCTGGAGAGAGAGAAAGAGAGAGGGAGAGAGAGAACAATCGTCGTCTAATTTGCCAGCTGATTCAATCTTTCCTCCTTCGGTCACTTATTTTTCCTTTATTCTCTTTCTTAGTAACATATATATATATTAATTCCCTCGCGCGATACGAATACTAATTAGACATTTTAAACGCGTTATACTTATCGAGTTTTCGCCTCTTTTTCTCTCTCTCCTTTTTTCTTTCAACACATAAAACTAAAAGAAATTATGCAAATATAATGTAATTTAAAATTTACATGTTTCTTGTTCTATAAATTTAAAAAAAGGATTTTTTATATTTATCAAATATTTTATAGGATATTTAAAATGTTTAATATTTATAAAAAGAGAGAAAAAGCGAGTACTTACAATTTTAACAGGTGCGAAGTTTTTTTGTTATGTGGCATTTATTAATAATAAATATATTTGAGGGGAGAAATGATATTTATGAAATAAGAGATTAAAAAAGTATTAATTAATTATTGAATTTTTTTCTTAAACATAGCAATATCTAACATTATTTTAACTAATGTGCGATTAATCAGGCGTATTTCCAAGGTTTTGTTGATTGTCATTTATCTTCGAATGTTTTCCATTTTATTCGATCCCAGTGGACCTTACTCCCCACAGTGCATTACTTAATTGCTTTCATGATGATTTCATAGAAGAACTGTTGCAGTATTTGAAGAAATGTTGCACAAGAATTGCTCCAATCTCAAAACACAAATAAATTTAGGATCATACACATTTATAACAAATATTATTTTTATTAAATAAGTAAAATCTTAAAATAAAAAATATAGAAACTTAATATATCCGAGTCTATTTTGTATTATTTTTTAATAATAATTTTCTAATAGATATATATCTTATATGATGTTAAATTTGGCAATACATATGTACAGATGAATTTTTAATTTAGATTTGAAGATTTAATATAAATTATAATAAGCTAAAATAATAAGCTATCATATAAATCTCTTTCTTATGTTTGTAAAAATTAACCGAATACTTACTTTATATTATCCGATACCCGAATACCACTTCGAATATTATGACAAAAGTATAAAACAGCTGAAAGAGGCAAACATGAGACGCATTAGGAAACGCGCGTGTCCGCCGATGACCGAAATCCTCGGATCGAACCTGAAATATGTCTGCGGCAGTAAATCCTATCGGATGCTGTACCATTCTACCCCTTAGCAGTCCCGAATCGTATAACCGTATAGGGGTTGACATAGTCTGGGAGAGGGGCCGAGACGTCGGAGCTTCGAATATATGTGAGGTCTTAAAGTTGCACTATAGTCTTGAGATGGGTTTAATATGGTAGCAGTCACATCGCTTTTACGAAATCCATAACTAGGATTCTGTTGACCAGGAGAGAAGATAACGTTTCGGATATATGTAAAAAAATTGGAGAGTTATCCTTTATCGCTTCTTATCTTAATATTTGTTTATATTGTTTATTAAAATGTTACAATGTGCTACAACTTTAAATAAATAATCTCTACATTAGAATGATATATAATAATAAAATCATCAATGTCGCGTTCTCAATTGTTACGTCCAATTAAAATCTCATACATTGTATAATACATCTATGCTTATATAAATTCTATATTCAAAATGTAACGATATATAAAGCAGCAGCAAAAAGATTACGTTTTTTTATTTTTGGATACGAATGAATAAATATGATTTGCAATCATAAGAAGAAATTTTTCAATTTTCCAACAAGAAAAGAGTGTTGTTGTTGTCAAAAGTTTTTTTCATTATATTAATATGAAAATTATATATGCTAATTAGAAATGTAAACAGAAAAAAATTTTCTTCTTTATTTAAATATTTTTTTTTCAAATATTTAACATCTTTATATTTTGATTACTGTAAGTTGATTTTTTAAACGATAGATTTGAATTAATCATCACTATTTTAAGTGTAGATCGCATTTGCTACAAAAGTGTCATTAATTTATAAAAATTTCATAATAAGATAAAATCATTTATTAAACTTTCATAAGATAAATTACGAAAAATTATGAAACCTTTAGTTTTTTATTATATTAACGAAAAAATAGGGAGAAAAATAATATTATATTAATACGATAAATACGATATAATTAAGAAAACTTCTAATTATTAATTTTATCTTTACGTTGTCTTGTGTTTTTACAGAGTCTCACAGCAGCATCTCGATCATCGCATATGCGGCAGGTGCAATGAAAGACCCGAACAAAAGAGCAATACGCTTCAACGAGCTTGATAACGTTGTCGCTTGACGGTCGTGGGGTGTATTGTCCTCACCATGGCGGTCCACTTGATCACGATCCAGCGGCACTTGAATCTCACTCGTGCACCAGATAAGACGTCGATTGAAATTCATGCAATTCGTCACCCCGCCACCGTCGCCGCTATCTTTGGGCGCCGGCTATCGCCATCGCAAATCGTACCTCTCGCATTGTTTCCGGTCGAATCCTTCGGAAATCGCAATCCAGAATGTCGGCACAACTTGGCGCCGAGAAACGGAAGGATAAAGAAAGATTCACGCCTTTCCCTCTCATCTGGGAAAAAACTGATTTCTCTCAAGCAAGAATTGTATTCCGAGGATATCCGATGACACTTTTGTCACAAATAGCGACTTTTATTCGATCTCATAGCTAAAATAGAACGCCTATTTTTGTTCATTATTTTTTTTCTAATATGATATTTATTATATGGAGATAATAATATATATCATTTTGATACATGCATAGATTTATTCAATTTGCGCGCGCGTGAGAATTACATTTATATAATACTTAATAATTTGCAATATTAAAAATATGATATTTTCGAACAAGGAGCAAAATTTTCTAGATTTTCATAGAAAAGAGAATAGAATATTATTTATTAAAACCGCTATAAATTTTTGCCAATTATTTCCAAATATTCGGCACAATTGCTTAATCTCTATATGAAAAGCATCTCTGACATGTCAACTAAAGATATAATATATTATATTTGTTTGTTGAAAAGTTTGATTTTTATACAGTTAGATTGCATTTCAACTTTACTGTGGAACATAGCGAAGCGTCGAACAGCGATAACGATTTATGTTGGGGTGCTATTTCCCGAGCAATCGATCAAAAAGGAGTAAAATGGGGGCAAAACCGAGACGAAAGAAGAAGGCAATGGAGCTGGGGGGTGAGGGAGAGGGAGGGGGAGGAGAAGCCACCCGCCTTCGTCTTCGAATGAAGAGAGGTGAATCGGGAGAGATACCGAGATTCTCTTTCTCTTTCTTCTTCTAGCCTTTCTTTCACATCCCCGAGGAGTAACTAACCGAACCGAGAGCCTGGATAGAGGGTGTTAAGGTAATGCCCCATTAGTATGTGGAACCCGTAGTCACACCACCGTGCGGCGGTCAAACTGCGGTTTGTCCCGACCGTTTCCCCCCTTGGCCGTGCCTGTACAAAGACGTATACCTAGGATACACTCACACACCTACGCATCACGATGGCAGACGAGGACCTGTCAATAGCCGGCTTGTTACTGTGGCAATGATCGGCTTAACCAACGGAAAAGATCCACCCAGACGTACTAGGACTTTCGGGATGTCGCGTCGGACGCTGGACACGCGTGTCAACAGCGTTTTTCCCTTCCCATAAGACTGCCAGAGACATTCGTTCTGATTCAAGCTGCCTCGCGGAATTTATTATCGCCGAATGTGAAGGCCTGTAAAAGAGAAAATTGATATTGATCCCGACCGTGAGAATCCTGGATGCGTGTGATTGGATTTATTTTAATAAATACTTGACTTCTTATGAAATTCTAATGTATCTCGAGAGACTTGCGATTAATCTAATAAATCACGTTAAAAAAATATTTTATTCAGTGAGAATTCCATGAAAAATGTTGAAAATCCCTTTAAATATTAAAACGTTTAAATTGCATTAATTTGTTTTTTATGCAATATATAATAATAATGATCGACATATATTTTTATCTAGTAATTTTTTCTTATTTACATTTATAAATCGAAGAAAATAATATACCTTTTATATTAATTTTTTTTAATAAAGCTCATATTAGTTCAATATTGAATGATACCATTCGATCGAGAGAGCAATTAAAGATAAAGATGTTGCAAGTTATAAAGTCGCTTGTTTTTAAAAGTGACAAAGATTAGATTCATGGGTCATATGAGACCACGTGCGTGACGAAAACCTAAGTTTCTTATCGCTCAATGATATCAGGTATTGCGAACCTACCCATAAGAGATTGCTATCTCTGACTTTTCTTCAAGGAATTTTCTGGATAGCTACATTTGCATATGTATCACATTATGACAACAATCTTAACCGATGGAATTCTTGACTGATATCTTCAAATTGTGATTCGAGAATGTAAAATCATTCAATCAATATCACTTGATTAAATATTAAAATTAAAATATATAAAAGATGATGACCAATTAATCTTATAATCAGTTATTAAACTTTGTAATTAAAAAAGAATCATTAATGTTTGGATATGCTTCTGTTAATAAGAAAACTAAGAATATCTTTTCACACATATAAAGAGATTTCATAAGTTTTGATAACACTTAAGATATTTTTTCGTATTTTTCTTCGCCGTCGATTTTTACGTTTAAAGCGGCACTCGAAAAAAGGACACGTAAAATTACGGTGCGCTTCCTTTCGAGTATCCATTCACTTATCTCGGTTCAGCAATAAGGATGCAAGTCACCAGCCCCTAACGCGGTAGAAAGACGTTGATGTGAATTAATGGCAGCTTAAGTTATATAGTTAGTGTCGCGTGGATATAGAAGGATGGAAGGAGGGAGGGAAGACGCCAACGGTACTACGGTATTAATTAACGCGACCCCAAAATCTCTCCTCTTAACCCCTGAACTCTCCCGTTTAAATGATACTGTATCACGGGTACCGTCTCCCCGAGTAAGAACGAAGGGGACGAGGAACGAAGATATCCTATAAATATTATCTGCTCCTTCATTTTGATATAAATATGGGTGTCTGTTATGCAACGATAGACGATTACGGAGCATTTCCGAAATCGTACTCAGTCATGGAAGGTTCATTGATAGATTTATCGTGAGATTTAGCATGTGATTTGTAGAATTAATGCTCATTTTTTATGTTTACAAATAAAGATGTTTAATATATTAATCA